AGTTATTGTTTATCTAACATGCAAAAAAAAAAATTATCTGTAAACAATATAATAGTAGAAGCAGTGTTGGACATTCAAACAGATTATATTCTCATGATAACTATTTTTAAAAATTAATGTTCTCAAATTTTAAAAAATGTTCTCATTTATATTGAGCTTATTCAAACTAATATTCTCGTGATTATTAAATAGGTATGATGTTCTGTGAGAACATGAGAATATCGAGTTTCCAACACTGAGTAGAAGTAATACATGTATTAAAAATGATTGTTACCTTGACATTTGGAAAGCAATCTAATTGCATTGATTGGTGAATTAAAGAAAAAGTAGCAGATATCATAGCCTGAGAGGCGATAATCGTAGCCAAAATAGCTAAAACAAATACAGTCCAATAAATTCCAAGGTTGGAAGGAGTAGTTAACCAAAAAGTATTTACAATTACGTTGGGGTCTAAAACCAAACGTGCGGCTTGGCCAGTATAAACCAAGACTAAAGGAATATAAACAAAACATGGAAAGGAGATTTGAATGGCTTTTTGATTAAAATGTCCTAAGTCCGCAAATAAAGCTTCAACACTATTTAAAAATGCGTAAAAATAGGAATGATATTAAACATTATATAGTACTATAGATAAGTTATTAAGCGAAAATTTTACCCAGTAATTGCCAATAGAACGCCACCAAGATCAGTAAACTTAATAAAAATAATACAATAGATATTAGATGACAAAAAAATTTATGAGCAACGCAATATATTCTTTTTTTTTTTAAAAAAAAAAAACCAATAGATAAAGTTTTTTTTTACCCCAGAATCTTTTTTTCTAATAAAATAGTCAAAAGCATAATAGGGATTGTAGGCTTTCAAAATTTCAGGATATTGGGAAATGTTCCAAATGCCAACAGAAGCGATAGCAATAAACCAAAGAGAGACAATTGGAGCGAATAAATTTCCAACCTTGTCTGTGCCAAATTGTTGTAATAGAAATAATATAACAAGGATAACACTTTAATATGAAAAGAAAAAAGGATTATTTCTTTTATGTTTATCAAATTTGTATATCAAATAGGTTAGTCTTTAACGTTATAAAGTTTCGGAACTTTTTATCAAACCTTGAATAGATACTCTATTTAATAATCGGCGGAATATCGAGGAATTTGTGGAATTAGACTTTCAATTAATTTAAAACATTAAATCCATTATAAATGCGAAATTTTCTTTGCAAAATTTTAAATTTACTCCATTTAGTTAAATTTGTGGATTTAAATAATAGTTCAATTCCACAAATTCGCAAGAATGATACAATTCTTGACCAAAGTTAATGTCATCTTAAATGTCAATATTTTATATCAAAAAAGATTTCTTGAATTTAATAAATTTTCTCCGAAACTTTATAACGATATAGACTGACCTAAATAAAACATTATAGATACCAGCTAATAGGAACGATAGCAGGTGTTAAACTTGGTACAGGGACGGCCATACCCTCAACGGCGG